AACTGTCCACAAGCTTAGAAATTTTCTAAGTGTTGAGTTGAATTCTATTTCAAATTACATTTCTAAGCTATTGAAACTACTACTTAGCAATATTATTTTTCAACACCAAGTAATTCATTGTCATCTACAAAGTTCATATTTCAAACTTCATTTAAGTGTCACATACATGTTCTATAGCATTTTTGTTCAATAAAAATTGCTTTACAACCCTACGTGATAATTATACGAATCGCGAAGGAACTTTTCGTTTTGCATTTTTATTTGTCGTTTCAGTCACAATGCTTCACCTACACATTTCATCTCATGCATTACCACATAAATATGATGCTCATAAAGTGTTTTAGAAAATGATTTGCGGTGTAATACCGAGGGTGTTACAAAATGGACTAAGTGTAGGGCTTAATTATTGCAAGAAATTTAGAATTAACCCAATTCACCCCCTGCGCATCTTGATCCTTTTAAAAGGGACAACGACAGCCAACTACTCAGAAAAAGAAGATGAGGCCTTGGTTTTAGCATGGGAGAATGTGAGTCTTGCTGCTGTCACAGGAACTGATCAAAATAGTAGCACATATTGGAAGCGAATTGGAGAGCACTTTCATCGCAATGTTGGACTTATGCTAGATTCCAATTTGATATTTTAAATTATGTATTAAAAATGTTGGATAATTGTGTGGTAGAATGATAAAATCATGAATTTTCTGGAGTGGGAATGGAGTTTATAATGAAATGTGTATGCAAAAGGTAGGAGAAATAAAATAAAATAAAATATAATCTCTCTGTTCTAAATCATAAGGCATTTTAATTTTCTTGGAGAGTCAAAGCATCTCAAGTTTGACCAAAATTCTAGAGAAAATTATAAAGATTTATGAAATCAAATAGATATACTATAAAAATATGATTAATGAAGAATCTAATGATACATAGTTAGTATAATAAATGTTATTATTTTATTATATAAATTTGGTCAAACTTGAAATACTTTGACTCTCCAAAAAAGTTTGAATGACTTATAATTTGGGATGGAGGATGTAGGAGACAAGTTTTAAGGAATCTGCTGCAGCAGTGTTCTCTTATATGCTAAAATAGTTATAGGAGACTCTAAACTAACATATAGGAGATGCCGGATAGGATATCTAGTGGAGTTGCTCTATACTAACGAGTTGTTGGTTTGCTGCAGCACACAAGATCGACCATGCAAAGCCGATCGAAATTTAGGGCCTGTCTGGGACTGCTTTGCTCCAGTTTTTTTAGCTCTGCTCCACTAGCTCCACCATAGAGTAGCTTCACTCAAGAGTTCTTGGAGTAGATGGACCTGTTTGGCATGCAACTTGACTCCAGCTCCAGGAATAGAAGGTTTCTAATATGCCCCTGATTGATGTTTGGTTCATGTTTTGATTTTGTAAGCATATATGAGTGTCTATTTGTGGAGTAGCTCTAGAGTTCTTGGAGCAGATGGACCTGTTTGGCATGCAACTTGACTCCAGCTCTAGGAATAGAAGGTTTCTAATATGCCCCTAGTTGATGTTTGGTTCATGTTTTGATTTTGTAAGCATATGTGAGTGTCTGTTTGTTTTTACTAGTTGAAATATTATGTAGAAATACTATAAATGCAAATAATTTAGTACAAAGGCACATATTTGACTCTCTTGTGATACAACCCAAGAGTGCAAGCTGACTATGACAAATCATAGTATTGTACTAATACAGCCTGCGGCTACAAAGCAATCCAATAGTAGGTTTCAGAATATTGACAAAACTGAAAAATCATATGTATGATACACATACATTTATTGAATTTCTATTTCAGAACAGCAATAGGATCCAAATTATCCAACCAACTTGCACTGCCATATCTGAATTTACTCATGAGGTGAGCGCACCAAACTACATGAGACACTGAACGAAATGAGCTTCGTGCGTGGGCTCACCCTCGCCGCATTGAACGCATTGATAGTCGCTGCCACATCACCGCAGGACACACTACCCACAGATATATCTATCGCATGAGCGCTGGAGCCTGACCCAGCCAGTGGCGGAACCAGGGGGCCGGTGCCTAAGATATGGCAACATTTTTCTTATTATCTTAAAGTTTTTATTTGTATTTAGTGCAATAATTTAACAAAATTATTGTATTAAATATAAATAAAAAATATTTCCACTGTATGAAAAAATGGGTGACTAATTTTATTTTCATTGTGCAGATTCGATTGAAACATGTATACTAAACGCACGCTGCTACACTAATAGGTGCAATATTAAATGTCAACGTCCACGAGTTACCTATTGTCGACAAAAATGACAATTTGTTCTGTTGCTGCAGTAATCAGAAATCAGCCCTGATGGCGAATAGTAGCTATAGCAACCATGCAAGATGAAAATAGGGGCATTTGTACTCTACAAATACATTTATAGAGATGGCTAGTTCGTACTGATTTTTGGAGCCGGATGTAGACTGAGCCGCCTCTGTCTAAAAAAGCTATCGTTGCTAAAGATCATTTTACGTAGTAGTGGTATTTTTCTTTGACAAAGATTAAGGTCTGGCATCAGTAATTAAACTAAGATTTCTTTCATGTGGATTTTTTGGTGTAACTAATGGTCTGTGTGGGACTGCTCTGTTCTGTTTCCAGCTCTACTCCACTAACTCCATCATGGAACAACTCCATTGTGGAGTTCCTGGAGCGTTGGCACGTAGCCTAGCTCCAGCTCCAGTTTTGTGAGGTTCCCTTGAGAAAAGTCTAATATGTCCCTAGATGGTATTTGGTGTATGCTTTGTTGTCTGTGGAGCATAATGTAAAATATTTTTTTGTTGCCAATTTGGTCCCTCAACTATTTCTTGAGGCTCAGTTTCGTCCCTGAATTTTCAAAACAATTGTTTTAGTCATCAAACTCTACTTTTAGGCTCAATTTCATCATAGAACTATGAAGATGATCGTTTTAGTCCTCGAACTTTGCATTTTGGGCCCAGTTTCATTTATAAACTATCAAATTGTATTTTGTTCTTTAAACTTTTATTTTCAACACAACGTTGTGTACGTTCTACGTGGAACGCTGTACTGTTACACCTGATTAGCTCCAACACCACCAGCGATTGGAGATAGAAAAATAATATTCATCCAAAAACTCTTTCGTGGCCATTAATAATTCTAAACTGTTATTTTTAGTGTTACCTTATAATGGTACTATTTATATATATCCGACTAAATGATATTACGGGAGCAATTACAGTTGCATCGAATGCTATTTATTAATTAAGAATACATGAATATATTGAAACAATAGCAGATCTATAATTTTGATAATTTATGGATGAAATTGTGCCTATAATATAAGGTTCTCTTTTTGAATAGACAAAATTGAGTTGAAAATAAAAGTTAAATGCACTTTGATAGTTTATGATGAAATTGATCCTAAAATACAAAGTTTGATGACTAAAACGATCATCTTCATAGTTGTAGGATGAAATTGATCCTAAAACTAAAGTTTGAGGACCTAAACGGCTGTTTTGAAAGTTTAGGGATAAAATTGAGTCTCGAGTAATAGTTGATGGACCAAAATGGCTATTGTGCCAAAATATTGTAATGTAAAAAATATTGCCGCTCAGCATTACAAATCAGCATACATAGAAAATAAAAAATAGTGTAGTGTACACGGAAAAAAAATAGTGAAGCTCATCAAAGATGCGGAGTAGAAAAGAAAAAAAATACTATAGCTCATCATAGACAGAAAGAAAAGGGACTTGCTAAAATTTAAAATTGCAGATTTGTTCATCGGAATTTCTATAGGTGTAATCTGCAATTTTCGGTACCGAGAATAAAAAACCTGTTAGACAAAACCACAAACCTGACAAAATATGATTTATGTTGCCACAAAAACAATTAACAATTCAGAATTAATTCTATAGGCAGAGAAGGATAAAAATTTAATATGTTACGACACAATAACAATTTACTTGTACTAGTTGGTGGTACGAGAGTGTTGTCTAAAATCATCCTAAAATTCAGGCACCTGAAATATAAGAGTAGAAAGAAAAACATTGGAGCTTATCAAAAGGAAGGGCGGGGCTTGAGCGCTAGCCAGCCGGGCCTGGCGGCAAGAGTGGGTATTTTGTCCTAACTCCGTAAGGGACACAAAACTCTAAATGTTAGAGTACTTCTTGAAGTGCTCCGGAAAAAACGTGGTGTTGGCCTCTAGCTCTAGTTTTTCGTGGAGCGGAGTTTTAGAAGCTAGAGGTATTTGACAAAACAAAGCTAGAGTAGAGCTGAAAAAAAATGAGAGAAGGGAAGTCCCACTTCTTTTTCTTTTTTTTTTAATAAGAGGGAAGTCCCACTTAGTCCTTCCACGACAAGGCGCTGGCGTACGTGCCGACGAGCAAGACGATAGCGTCGCTGGAATCAACTTAAAGCTGTAGCTACAGTATCCTAGTGATTGAGGTCAGAACAACTGCGCTCGGAATTCGAAGATACATAGGTAGCAACGCGAACCAGGATTATCAGGGCCATAAAAATTAAAAATGTAATGAAAGGATAAACCCAGCGGGTACCAACCCAGGTCCATCGACCATAGCACAGCCGCACACCAAGCAGAAACAAAAGGCGTACAAGTTCCAGCAGATATTTGGCACAGCAAAATCCGACCAACCGCATTGTTGCTGCAAGACAGCGGCGCCTAAAAAGCATACCACCTATGTAACAAAGGGGAAAGGTGATGAGCTAAGAATTACATACAGTTTACAAGTTACAACAACATTTCCGTAATTACAGTTGACTACAGTACAATCATGCCAGGTTCACAGATGAGGTGCTTGGTTTGAGGAATCACATAATATCTAGAAAGAGGTCACCCATGAATTGTTTGGGATGAACTCATTCCTCGTGATTAAGCTAGCCATGTGCTTGTGATTGACCCACTCCATTCTCTAGACCAAGCAAAAATGTAAGGAGTAAGAAGGTGATGCTTGACCCATTCCTCAAACACACACCTATCTACCTTTCTCAGAATTACTGCTTCCTCAGCGAAGTCAACGATCGGCGAAATTGCTTTGCAAGTTCTTGGAAAAACTTGACATCTGATGGTTTTGTTCTGCTGACCGCAGACTTGAAATGTCTCATTGCTACTTCTCGGATGTCAAACCTCTCCTGTTGAACGAAAGAGTATTCTGTCACTTAACTTCTAGCATCACCTAGTGAAAAATGCATATGCTCATGCAACTAGACGGGGAAGAATGACTAGCATACATCAAGTGCGGCAACAGCAGCTTCCCTGCAGATGAGCTTTATGTCGGCGCCAGTGTAGCCTTCTGTGAGTCTAGCAAGTTCGTTTAGATTCATGTCAGCACTGCATGGCATGCTGCGTGTGTGAATCCGGAAAATATCTGCACGGTCAGATTCGTTTGGTGGTTGCACATCCAGCACCCTATCAAAGCGACCTAGTGCATATATCGATCTCAAAATTAGATCAAATGAGTGTTACGAGCATTATATGTGTAATCCAAGAAATAAATTTAAGCGCTGATCCATGTACATAGAACTAAATAACAACTGAACCAATAACCTGGCCTCAGAAGTGCAGGATCAATTTTATCAGGACGATTTGTAGCTGCAATAACAGTAACGCCAACTCTCTGGTCCAAACCTGTTGCCATGATAGTAAATTATGCACCATAAAAGTTTACAGACCAATAGGAGCATGTAAATAACAAAATAAGTGATAGAAGTTCATCAGCACATTGCAATTGCATATGGCTAGAACTGAACATTGACTGGAAATATCATAATAAGATGTTTGATGCTTGGTTATGTGCAGGCAACAAAATACATTATTGTTATTTGCCAACCTCTAATCACATGCTTAACACACTTTAGAGTGTAGTGAAGAAATACGCTGATTAGAATAAAACACGATAGTAAATTATGCATCATAAAAGGGTAGATTTTAGACAGATATATTAGCTTATGGGCCTAGCGTCCTGACTGTTTTCTCCTGTAGGCCTATGGGCCAGGTGAAGCCCAACACTGGGCACCCCTCTTGTGTGTGTATAGGGCTAAGGGTAGCTGCCCTCAGCCTATATATGATTGTACCCTGCCACCAGTATAATCAATCTATTATTCGCGCATATCTCTACGCTTTCAGTAGAGACCAATAGGAGCTTGTAAAAAACAAAATAAGATAAAAAGGTTACAACACATTCCAAACATGCGTAAGCACAAGCAAATGGCTAATACTCCAACCAAATAACATTGACTGGAAACATCATAATCAGATAATTGGTGCTTGGTTTATGTACAGTCAACAAAAAACATTATTGTTATTTGGGAACCTCTAATCACATGCTTTAAAACATTTTAACGTCTAGTGAAAAAAATAAACAGACTATAATAACTCCTAGGGCAATTATTGGTGAGTTTATGAACAAATATGGAGATTTGAACGAGGAATTTCCTAATGAAGTGTTAAAACTCACCATCCATTTCCACAAGCAACTGACTGAGGACCCTATCAGCAACAGACGTGCCATTATTTTCTTGCCCACGAGTTACTGCAAGCCCATCTATTTCATCAAAAAATAATATTGCCGGTGCATTAGTCCTTGCCTTTGCAAATAGCGATCTCACTGCCTTTTCTGAGTCACCGACCCATTTGCTGAAAAGTTCAGGACCCTTAACAGCAAGGAAGTTCAATTTTGCTTCAGAAGCTGCAGCACGAGCCATCAAAGTCTTGCTGCAACCTGGCGGTCCTATCATTAGTAATCCTCTAGGGGGTCGGATCCCTAAACGTTCAAATGCTTCTGGGCATTTTTGTGGTAATTGGATAGCTTCAATTAGCTGCTCCTTGACACTGAACTGACCACCAACATCTTCCCAACGTACCTTCGGAAGCTCAAGAAGAACCTGTATACAACATGATTCAGCAATTGGCATTTTTTTTCACACAGACCAGATATATAGATAGGAATTGTCATACAAGAGACCTATGGCTAAAGCCTTGCAGGTGGATAGAAGTGATACCTCGCGCATTGCACTTGGTCTAACTTTTGTTTTAGCCTTGTCAAAATCCTTAATGGTTACTAATAGTGGTATTTCATCTGTATCATCATAAGACTCACTACTTTTTATGTTACCACCCTTCATGCAGGCAACATCATCTGATGATATGGTAAACTGTGAGAAAGATGACGATAATGAGCTTGGATCTTCAGTATCCTGACTCTTACACTTCTCAAAACTACAGCCAGGATGACCAAGTGGTTGAGTTGAATTTTCCTTTAGGCTGATGTAACGCCGCAGAGCACTCAATGCAGCCTCATTGCATAGTGCTGCTAGATCAGCACCCACAAATCCATGGGTCGCTAGAGCAACAGACTCAAGTTCTTCATTGCTGAGAGAGTGATGAACTCCAATTAGAAGGCGGCGAAGTATGTCAATCCTCTGTCCCGGGGATGGCACTCCTGCAACCCAGTTTGAAGACAACAAAACATGATTAACTTGGTTTTAAACTCAACAACATATCACTGGACAATGATGTTGAATTGAAGTCATTAAATTTGGTGCCATCTAAGTGCATGGCCAACCTTAGTGTTCAAATAAATCCTTAAATGGCCACTAAAAACACACAAATAATCACTTACTACAGATGAAAAAGCTTACAGTACAAGCAATCCATTGCTTATAAGTTTAAAATACTGCCCAGTCCTGAATGCATTATGCTACTTCATAAAATAAAAAAGGCCAGGTTGCTAATACATTCTACACATTCATAAGCGCTTCATTTTAGTTGCAGGCATTAATTTAAAAAGCATGATGTGTATGTGGAGTAGACTACATCCACAGCTATTCGCACTGAAAATATATGGATAGCATCAGAGCATTCTACCTATTTCAATTTCTTTATCCAATCTTCCAGGGCGTGCAAATGCGGGTCAATACTATCAGGCCGATTCGTAGCAGCAATCAAGAGAACACGATCACTAGGGCCAATCTCATCCATCAGTTTTAACAGAGTGGCTACCATTCTAATAGATAACTGCTCACTCCCATCCTTCCTTGATGGAGCAATTGCATCCAATTCATCAATAAATATCTAATAGCAACAAAGATACATGATACTGTTATGAATGCTAACAAGATGGGATAAGGATCCTAATTAGGATACCTATACTTCAAATATATAGCATTGCTCCTTGCTAACAAAATAGCTCAAACTGTCACCTTCGATAATCAGTGCACAAACATTTCAATATTTGACCTGACCCATAAGCAATGTTTCAGAGAGGATGAATCAGACAACTTGGTAACAGAAAGTCAGAAACCTGAACCATAACTGGGAAAAAAGTTTTTTTAATAAAAATCAGAGTTTCAACTATGAGGAGAAAGGAGATGCTCATAAATAGGAGCAATGCAATATAGATATAGGCAAGTTAGCTGCTTTGGTAAGACACTTCAGTGCTCAACTATTGATGCTTAATGAGCATAGCATTAGAAACAGGCTTCAACTGAATCTGTTGCTTGTATGCATCATAGAACATACAGTGAAGAATTCAGCATCCCTCAATCATTGGGAGCATTTTGCATTGAGAACAGTGGAAAAGGACAAAGGAGATATATATTCAAGCAAAGTTGTTTGCCTGCTGGATGTGAAAAAATAGTGAAAAGAGTAACAAGTCCAATTTCATGAATTTGAATAGAAGATAGTTTTTAAGGCTTCAGAGTTGCACAACCCATCAAAATATTAGAGCAGCTTGGGCTCAATATCATAGTGTTACCCTCCAAAAATAAGTTGCTAGTGAACACACTTCATGTTGAATACCCGGAGTAGATACCATTACAAAACTAAGTCAGTAAATAAATATTTTTTTGTCCTAATAAAAGGGGAGTTTCGATGTTATGAGTTATGGTATTAGCACTTTAAGAGGTAACTCTACTATGAACCCAGGATTCTTTTTGTGCAGTTGACATAACGGTAAAGGTAATTGCAGTCAATTATTCAAAGAAATTCTAACCACAGCAGGTGCCGCTTGCTTGGCTGAACTGAAAACATCATACAGAGATTGCTCGCTTTCTCCGTAATAATGACTAATGATCTCTGGTCCATTGATTGTAAAAAGGTTGACCCCTGCATCATAGGCACAGGAAGAAGCAAGAGAGGTTTTCCCTGTTCCAGGTGGACCATAAAGAAGAATACCTTTGTATCTGAAACAATCAACATATTGCAAAATTCAAACCATTAATTTTTATGGCTGAATATAGTGAGATGTGTGTATCTGTTAATGGAATACCTTGGCAGACCAATTTGATCAGCTAGTGAAAATGAAATTATTCCTTTTATGGTTGCTGACTCTTTAGATAACCCACCAAGTGTTGGAGCATGATTGAAATCTTCATTTCTTTTGTCATCATACTCATAAAGTTCTGATGGTAAACCCGGCTTATCTGAACCAAGCTGCTTTGTGCTGACAGAATCAGATAAATGAACTTTTGTGGTTCCGTCAACAAGGAAGAAAACTGGGGTTTCACCAGATTTAGTTGAATCCTCTGCATTAGACAGTGTATTCCCTTTCTCACATGAAACATCTTGAGAAGAACTATCTGGTTCTGCTCCCATGACCACAAACAAAGACAATTTTCCGCATATTGAGAGAGGAACAAAGTTTCCTTTAAGCAAGTGTCTACCATTAAGCCACCGTACTGCTGAAGTATGCAACAACTCATTAACTTTCTCATCTGCTAGTGCTGATCTCGCAGTGGTTGGATCCAAGCACATTGAAGAGCCACTATTGGAAGGAAAGTGATTGGATTCCTTCTTATGCAGTGGAGTTGAAGGGCCTCTCTTAGGTGTCTCCATAACCATTGTGCTTCTTTCAGGATGGTAGTCAGACTCTGATTCAGTGCCTTTGGAAGATCCAATATTAGGTGGAACTAGGCTAAGATAAAGATTCTTACATTTCATTACCCGCAAAATATGAATATCATTACTATGCTTTGGGGCCTGAAGTGTACACAAGGGGCTAATAAACAACGATCGACCTACCAAAGGGTGTCCCATAACACAAGCAAGATCCCAAGAGAGCTTGATACCATTCTTTGGAACCTAGTAAGAGAACCCAGTCAAAAACTTCAACAATTTGTTATGCTTGCCACTTGACATCAGGAGGGAAAAAAAATAGAAAAGACATACCTCACGCGAGGGGAGAACTGTAGCAACCACAAAGTTTTTCCCAGCTTCACCATGCAGGAGATCATTGTCCAGATCAAGATCAAAGAATCTGCTGCACTCCTCAAATAAATTAACTAGTGGGAAAGCATCTAACTGATCACTGCTTGTCGAAATTAGTGAGACCTACGAACAATGAAACACACCTCAGCTTAGTTATTGAAAAGAAAACATACATGGAAGTTGTTAGTCGCTGAATTCTAGAATTCTTAGTCTCGGTAGTAGGAGAATTCTTACTCTCATCGAGAGAGGATGACACTAGGAGTTGGGGCAATTTTCTTGTCTATTTCTCACACAAACTCACACAAATGCCATGCCAACCTGAGGGGTTGGGGTTACATATTTATAGGCTGCTAGTCAGCCAAGCATATGCCAAGATGCTAGTCTAAGATGCTAGTCTAAGATGCTAGTCTAAGATGCTAATATGCTGTCCTAGCTAAGATGCTGTCCTCTAGTCTAAGATGCTGTCCTCTAAGATGCTGTCCTCTAGTCTAAGATGCTGTCCTAAAAACAGAAAAACAGCCACAAGGACCATGTGAGCAGCACAGCCCCACAAAGACCAGCCACACATGAGACTTATCCATCAGAAGTAAACTAGTAAGTTTGTGCTTTGCTGGAATTCTGAAGTTGGTTTCACAATCAGAATAGCATAACCTAAAGTCCAATTCTTATGGTGGCTGATGGTACATAACTACAAAAGAGAATCAAATGCAGGTGCAATCTCAAGAAGAAAGAAGTCCTTGAAGATGACATCTGCCCTCTCTGTGCAGCAGCTCAGAAGACCACTGTGACCTGATCTTGAGCTGCCCTTCACCATTGGCATTTGAAGCAGTGCCGGTTCAAGATGGTTGAACTATGCCTGCTGCCTATGCCTGAGGACCCACGTTGTACTCTGATGCTTTTGTTCAGCTTCTTTGCTGGCTTTGCTGGATGATCTAAAGCACAGAAATGAGGTTTTGTTCAATGGACAGCCTCTGTCTTAGTTCTGCTTGCAAGGAAACAGCTCATATCTGGAAGCACCGATTCGCTGTCGCAGATAGGGGTGTTGAAAACCAAAGTTGTAATCTTCTTCCTTTCCAATAACTTACTCTCTGAACTATGTACACCTCATATGGTCCGAGCAATATATTAAGGTTGGCAGCGCTCCCCTCCCCCTGATTGTAAAGAAAAATGAAATGTGCACATTTCGGTTCAGAACATCGACTCTGCATGCATACGCTGATGGGCTTAAGGCACCTTGACTTTCTACCGATTACTCAAAATCAATCAAATTGGACCACATACGACTAGACTGATCATTAGTGCCCTTGTGCGATGGATGAATTCAACCTCCCTCGCACAAAAGAAATAGTACAAATTTGAGTGAGCAACGATTCTAGCTGAAACGAAGCTGGTCCACACTAACAATTTGCAGAAACAGGCAGTCCTAAGTCGAAGGAACAAGGCCGAGGCACCAAAAGAGGAGCAGGGAGGAGCTTACGGAGACGAGGCACGCGGGCCGCATCCCGGCGCTGACCATAGCGGCCTCGGAGAGCCAGAGCCTCCCCAAGCGGCCGCCGCGGCTCCCGTCCCTGGGGGCCACTTCGGTGACGGTGCCAGCGAAGCAGCCATCGCCGCCGCGTGGCACGAGCGCCGGGAACTGCGCTGCGGCGGCGGCGGCGATGGATGGGAGGTCGACGCTTCTCTCGCCGTCGCCCGTTCCGGAGCCAGCGGCGGAGGAGCGAGATGGAGGCGTGCGTGGGGACGGCCGCGGCGACGCCGACGGGTTTTTCTTCTTGCCCTTGGAACGAAGCATCGCGGCGCGCGGGGGGTTGAAGGGGCGGGACGGCACGGCGGCGAGCGGCGAGCCGCGAGCCTAAAACCCTGGAGGCCTGGACAGGAGGAGGGAAGAGGGAGGACCCGGCGAGTCCGGTTCGGCCCTTGGGCCGAAATGAACGGGCCCTTTAGATGGGCTTCGAATCCTACAAAATCCCAAGGGCCCACATTTATGCCCAAACGATCTGAATTTTGGTCCAAACGACGTGACGGCCCAAGGGAATTATATATGTCCACATTTATAGAATCATTATATGGTCAGACATATATAATTCCTTCAAGATGAGGGACCAAAATTTAAGCACATATAAAATTCAGATATCAAGAAATAGCAAAATCTAAATGACAAATTCCCAAATGAGATGATACTTGAAGTAGATGATTAATGGTGCAAAATTGATATTTGATACATAAAAGCATAGCACAATATGACACTACTGGATTCAGGTTCTTTGCCGAGTGCATGAGGCACTCGGCAAAGGCTAAATTACACTCGGTAAAGAACACATGGCAAAAAATTAATCTATCGGGCGGGGGCACTCGGCAAAGAAAAACGACCGTCACGGCGCCGGCCCCGTTGACGGTGGCTTTGCCGAGTGCCAACCCTGCAGGCACTCGGCAAAGATTTTTTTTATTTTTTTTTTAAATCTTTGCCGAGTGCCCGCTAGCCGACGCTCGGCAAAGTTTGTATTTTTTTTTAAAAAAAATTCTTTGTCGAGTGCCCTCTTGCCGGCACTCGGGTTAAAAAAATTCTTTGCCGAGTGCCCTCTGGCCGGCACTCAGCAAAGTTGAATTTTTTTAAAAAAAATTCTTTGCCGAGTGCCCTCTGGCCGGCACTCGGCAAAGTTGAATTTTTTTAAGTTTGATTTTTTTAAAATTCTTTGTCGAGTGCTCTGGTCGGCACTCGACAAAGTTTGATTTTTTTAAAATTCTTTGCCGAGTGCCGCAAAGTTTGATTTTTTTTAAAAAAAAATTCTTTGCTGAGTGCCTTCTGGCCGGCACTTGGCAAAGTTTGAATTTTTTTAAAAAAAATTATTTGCCGAGTGCCATGGTCATGACACTCGGCAAAGCTGGAAAAATGGTTTTTTGAGCGCCCATTTTTTCAACTTTGCCGAGTGCTGTGACCATGACACTCAGCAACGGGGTCCTTTGCCGAATGCAACACTCGGCAAAGTGACCCAAACCGGTAATTTTTAATTTTTTTACATTCCATCGTGACAAATAAATTCATACAATCATATATCTCATCCATCACATATATATATCTCATTCATCACATATATATCTCATCCATCCATACATCCATCACAATATATATCACATATATAATAATAAGTGCTCAAGTCCATCCAAATAAATCCACAAGTCCATCAAAGTCCACAAGTGCATCATAAGTATATCACAAGTCCATCACCAAGTGAACAACAAATAAAAAAAATACAACGTGCACTCATCTCGGCCACTGCGACTGTGGTGAAGGCCTAGCTCCATCATTCGGAGGTGCATGAGGTGGATTATTCGAACCACCGTCAGATAGAGACTACACAAAGAAGAAAAGATTGCATGTGAGACAAGATCATTTAATAGCTAATCTAGGAAGTCTAGAGGCCATACAAGTAAAGCATAAGCGAAAGTAAAAAACTTTCATACTCACATGAGTAGCTGGAGTTGCAGGACGCGGAGGCGGAGGTGGAACCAACAGCCCAGGTGGCAGAGAGAAGCCCACACGTTGCCCAAGCCCTTGTAGGAACTCCGTAATGTCCGTCAGCCTCTGCGCCTGGGCCTGCCGCTCGGCCCGCTCGGCCTCCAGCTGGGCCGCCATCCTCTGGTGCCCGGCCTCCAGCTCCTGACATTGCCTCATTTCTTGTTCCAGTCGGACCTACAATATTTCACTCCAATGTTTCAGTAATGCAAAGCTAATTAAGGTGTGTAAAGATCAATGTATGACGAGTAAAATAAGAATAACCTCGAGTGCGTCGACCCGGTGTTGTGTAGCGGTCGGCCATGTGCGAATGGTCGGGCTCTCGCTCGTGCTCTGTGCTCGGATCTGGGAGAGAGAGGGAGTAGAGGCCGTGTCGATGACACCGTCGCCAAGCCAGAACCGCCCATGCTTCTTGCCTTGCCCCGCCCTCATGATGGCCTCTCCATCGAAGTCCTGGGTGCTCGGATCGTGGTCTGACCCATGGAGCGACCTCGCCATCTCAGTGCACTCACTGATGCGGGAGTGGACGCTCGGGTTCGTGTATGCCTCGGGCGGGTCCTTCAGGTTGAAGGAGACGTCGGACGTCGCCTTGCCCTTGTGGGCCATACACCATGCCTAGAAGTCTGAGCAAGCTTGGCCACTATGTGACGCCGACTGCGAGAAAGACAGCACGATGATTAGAAATCAGGCAGAACTGAGCGTCACAATAGATAAATGAATTCACGTACCCATGCTTGTTTGTATCCGGTGAGGCTGCGGCTGCCTTGATGGTGTGCTGGACCTTGCATCTGCAAACGACGGTCCCGGGCATCCCTGTGCATCTTGAGGTACTCCTCCGTGAACCACCTCTCCACCATCATCGCCCAGCACTCGGGATACGCTTGGCACCACCAGGGAATCATCTACACGTCATCAAGTATTGGACATATAAGAAGATCAAATTAAACCAACTTAATCTCAAAATGAATCAATATTGATGTTCTTCATTTACCTCAAGGTACTGCTCCCGGGTCAGCTGCATCTCTCTTGCGTCTTTCTTGGTTTTCCTCTCTCCAAGCTTTGACCCGTAGTAGGTTACGATGGCCTGGATGCACACCTCGTGATGCATGTCGGTGATGAGTTTTTTATAGGCTTTGGTAGTCACCTGCTCCGCCCTGGCCTCAAAGCCCTCCTCGCATTTGTAATAAGTCTGCATACAAAAGCGATGTATCCATTCATTATTTCAAGAAAAGTCCAATGAATGCGACGTATTGAGCAATGTTGTGCGAGGTAGACTTACCCAAAACTCTGCCTTCACCCGCGCCGCCTTGTTGGGGGTACTCCGCATCGATGGCGATGGCGTAGTGGTCAAACGAGTAGGCCAGCTCCGTCTTCGATGCGTACGTGACAATGCCGGGGAAGTGTTGCCTGCACAGAAGACCCAGGATGCCGTTGACTAGCCGTGCGCTTCCACCCGACACAACCACCCAGTTCCTACACAAGTGATTAAGAAAAATTATTAGTTTTTTTCATCATATCATATGAAGTAGTGGTGATAACATATAAATTTACTTACTTTTGCCCTTCGGGGCGAATCACTGGGTGTTGGTGAGGAAGCGGAACCTGTGGGAGGCTCGCGGGACCTCACAAGTAGACACTCGAAGAGGAGTCGGAGGAAGTGGAACCCGTGCCTACCGCCTCCAACTCGTCGTCCTCGTGCGGCCCCTCTTCCTCGTCCGTCTGCCGAACCAGCTCATCGTCTGACTCGTCCATGGGCGCCACCTCCTCCTCCGGCTCCTCCTCACGTGGCGTGGGAGGAGACGACCCCCTCCTGCGTCTGGTGGTCCTCCTCCTCCTCCTCCTGTCCGATCCCTCCGCCGCCCCCTCCGCCTCCTCCTGCAGCCGGCGTGGTCTTTGGTAAATCGAGTTCACGGACCTATGACGGTCGCCCGCCATCTTTGTTCAATCACAGGCAATAAAAAATAAAAATAAGACGTAATTAGAAATAGGTGCAAAAATGAACAAAATATAATTACAAAAAACATAGTAATACATGTATTAGAAATATTTGCAAAAATGAACAAAACATAATTACAAAAAACATAGTATTACATGTATTAGAAATAATCTTCATGATTGAGATTAGCTGGATCATAGGTCTCGTCATCACTATCAACATTGTCCAACTCATCAACACTATCCGAAGGAGGAATGTTGTCTTCATTGTCATTGCCTAAACGTAATCGCTCAAGCATTTGTATGTCCTTCAGATTTCGCACCTCGTCTCCAGTGTCCTCGTCATCATCCCTTTCATTGTCTACTTCCATTCCTATCTCTTTGGTTAAGTCTATGTCAAACCTCCCTTGTAGTCCCTCTTCTTGATAGAACTCTCCATCATATGTGTTTGGGTTGAAGTTGTAATCTTCATCGTTTGGGACAGGTAGTTTACCGTATGGCGATACCTTGTGCACAATAGACCAACCCTTAAGATGCTCGGCGTCTTTGCACGCGTATGACGTATAATAAACCTGGACGGCTTGTTGAGCCACAATGTAGACATCTTTTCCTGGATAGATGGAATCCTGTCGAATCTCGACTAGCCCAAGCTTAGGGGTCCGTCTCGTTACTCTAGGATGAAACCAGTGGCATTTGAATATGACAGTAGTAAGAGGTTTGGAACCATAGAATGATAGTTCGTAGATTTCTTCAATTCTTCCATAATAGTCGAGTCCATCAGTGCCGGGCGTAACAACTCCGCTGTTTGTGGTTTTTTGATTGGACCGACTCTGCTCGTAGCTTGCTATGTGAAAACGGTATCCATTCACATCATAACCGGTAAATGACTTGACCCTAATGGCACAGCCGTTTGCAACCTGTCTCAGCTCGTTACTTATAGGCGCATCAGTTTGGGCTTTCTGTTTGAACCAACAAATGAAATCGGGGCTCCCTGGTCCCGCACCCTGTGAAAGAAGGGTATCATTTTCTTGCGGGGTAGGTTGCCTTGATCCATGCCAGGATTGATGAAGAAATTCCCTATACCAACGAGAAACAAGGGGGTTGGACGAAGAAACAAAGACATACGGAGAAATGAAACAAGTTCGTTCAGAACTTACCCAATGAACGGCTGCACCTCGACAAGGTTGGTCAACACATATAGCATGATACTGCGCCACTCTTCATTTTTCAATTGCTTAGTGGTCGATGCACTTGCGCTTCCGAGTTGCCCTTGGAAAAGGCTGAGGTTTGATTCATTTTCGCCAGCATTGTAACGAGGGGGTGGATTATAAATGCTAGGAAGT